ACAAATCTTACATAATTGTATAAAAATCATCTTTAACAAGAATCATATCAGCTGCTTCTTTAGATACATCAGTACCTGTTTGTCCCATAGCTATACCAATATCAGCTGCTTTAAGTGCAACAGCATCATTAACACCATCACCTGTCATACCAACAATATGTCCTTGAGCTTGTAATGCCTAGGAAAAAAAAAAACAAACAATAAAAAAATTTTAAATTCATTCATTTAATATCAAATAAATATTTACTTTAACAATGGTTAATTTATGTTTTGGACTAACACGATAGAATACTGATGCTTGTGAAACAATATTACGTATGTCAGCTGCACTCATATGATCAAGATCTTCACCAGATACAGATAAATCATTACTATGATAAATTTTTAAACGCAATGCTAAATAAGACCTACAGTTCTTTTTTTTTTTAATGTTCAAATTAAAATATTTACCTATTGCTTTTGCTGTTTTTTCAGCATCACCTGTTATCATTTTAACAATAACACCACCTGCTTTTAGTTGAGCAACAGCTTGTTCAACTTGTGGACGTTCCGGATCAATAATTCCAACCATACCAACATATGTTAAATCTTCAAATGAAGTTCCTGTAGCCATAGCCAAAACTAAAAGATAAAAGATTATTTCCTTACTTTAGTTTAATCAGAAATATTTCATTCTTTCATAGATAGACTAACTTTTTGGTTTATTTCTACTGTCAAAAAATGGCAGAATACACGAACGAAACTATGGATCTTATCTTTAGGACGCATGATTTCAAACTGCGGAAGGGCCAACTAAATCTTCAGAGAAACATCACCTTTTCAGTTCTAACGTTCCACAAAATACGGTACGTACCACAGGTACTTTGTCTAATTGAAAATCATGTAATTGATTCATGTGCTTAGTACCTTAGACTATTCTCTATTGCACAATATTCTATTTCGAATACAAAACTAATCATATATTAAGATGTTTTCTTAATTTGCATAAGAAAATAAAAATTCTTATTTATTTCGTATGATTATCCAAATATTTTATGAATGTTTAAGCAAATAAATCTTATTTAAATTAATATAATATTTATACTTCGTAATCCTTTAGCTGCCAATTGATTTGAATCTGCCATAAATTCTCGATGTTTTTCATCTGTTAATTGTACAGCTGCTCCTTGATGTAAATATCGTTTAGATAATTTTAATATTTGTTCAATACATCCTTTAATATATAAACGTATTTCATTCTAGAAAAGAAATTTTTTGTTTTTTTTGTAAACTTATATAAAATTTTCAATAAATAATACAAACTGGATTATATTTTGGTGCACATTGTACAGCCATCCATTTATTTTCATGTGAAAATGGCCATTCACGTTCACGATAAAATTGTTCACGAAGATGAGGAATATTCATCTAATAAGAAAAATTATTTGTTTTTTTTTTTAATGATAACTAAAATTTACAAAAATGAATCTATTTACTTTCATGGCAATAGCAAGTAAAGCACCTTCAGTTGGTTGACCACGAAGTTGAGAATTAACTATTTCAGCATTATTACAAACAGCTCCAATCTATTTAAAAAATTTATAATTGTTTAAGTTTTATTGACCATAATATTATATCAAAGCAATCCTCATAGAAAAAAAGTGTACAATTAGTAAGCCGTGTTTTCTATATGACCTTTTACCTCAATAATAATTATTATGTGGATCATATTATTTCTGTGATGATTGATGTTTGAAAGCTTTTACTAAATTCTGACCTAGAATGAGTAACTATGTTGAAGTACTATTGGCAGCCTAACTAATATTTTATATGAGCATCACGGCGTAGGAGCTCGTAGAACTTCTTGAAGTGCAGTAACTTATATGCGTTTCAGGGTAACACGACAGTTGAGCCTCCGACAATTGAGCCCCGACAAATGGGTCCTCGACAGATGAGCCCACCGACCGTTGAGCCTACCGACAGTTGAGCTCCCAACAAATGAGCCTCGTAGGAGAAACAGATGAGAGAAATATAAAAATCAATATTAGATAAATTAGTGATCCAATATTAAAAAAAATGTGGAAACATGCGACATCTTATGGCTCCAGAAGTTCGTTTACATCTATCTTCTCTAGTAGAGCAATCAAAAGTAATAGGACGAAAAAATTGTTGGAACTTTCTTCTAACATTTCTTGTATTCATTTGGGGTGTGGGTGTGGGTGTTGCTGTGAATCTACTATTTTCTTGAACCCAATCCCAAACCCACCTACACCCACATCCACACCCTTGATATAAATATAAAATAAATTTTTCTATTTCTTTAACTTGTTTCTTCTTTGGGGCTCATTTGTCGGGGCTCAACTATCGGGGCTCAACTGTCGAGGGCTCAACTGTCGGTGTGCCGCGTTTCAGCATACACAGTGAAGTGAGTGTCAGTAATATTTTTAACAATATTCCCATCTGATTTCAATATTTATCTTCGGTATTTTAGCCGTTTTAACATGAATATTTTCGCTTGAATAATAATTTGAATTCAGTGAAAATTTATCTTTGGCTTTAAATTATTATGGTGACTACTTAAAAAATTTAATAAGTTAGAACTTTTGACCAACCTTAAGTATTATATAGTATAGACGAAATAATCAAAAATTTATGTATGAAAATAAAAATTTCTTCGTACTATTCTTAAAATAATTTAAATTTGAAAGAAAATCAACTTGATAATGAAACAATTAACATTGAAAATTAAAAATCAAATACATACTTCAACTATCTTTGAAATTAATGGATGAGAATCATAAGTTACTCGTTCATGACCACATAGAACATCACCTTCACCATCATAACCTGAACCTGTAACCTAATCAATTATAATAGAATCATATAGATTTATTGTTATTTATTTATTATAAATAAATACTTCAGCCATATCTCCATCCGATGTCAAAATATTCGTAACAGTCATTTCATTTTTTGTTAATGTACCTGTTTTATCTGAACATATAACTGTTACACATCCTATAAATAATTATATATTCTAAGACATAGATAAATTAATCAAATAAATAAACTCAACCGAGTGTTTCAACAATAGGTAATTTTTTAACAATTGCTTCTCGTTTTGCCATACGTTGAACACCAAGTGCTAATGTTACAGTTACTACAATTGGTAAACCTTCGGGTATAGCTGCTACTGCCAAACTACAAAATAAAAATAGATCATTAAAAAGTTTCTATATTGTTGATTGATTTAAAATTTTATTTTATATATTGTTATTATCTCAAAAAAAAAAAAAAAGAAATTTAAATTAGAAATTGTTTATTTATGCATTAAATATATAAACAGGTGAAGTCATTCGTTAGCGACATGACACAAAAAAAAAGGACATCGACTTTCACTTCATGTATTTAAGTTAAAAGAAACTTCGAATTCAAAATCTCTATCTAAAGTTCTTTCTGAATATGCCGAAATTTTTCAAAATAATCGATTTAATTCTCATTAATGACGTTACCGACTAATAATATTGAGGATTTGATGAAATAATCTATCCTGGGTTTCCGTTTTTTTTTTCTCACATGATTAAAGAGATATTTGGTAATTGTTTTTTAAATAATTAATTACGGTAATCATAAAAAGTCTCGTTATCAGGTAAGAAGTATCTAAACTTTATTTCTTTAGATCACAAATAGAGCATACTGAACTCTGATCGCACGGTATAATCAAAACTTAATCAGCTGTCATACCAAAGGTCAACATAAACGAGCATATCTTAACATAGAAAACAAACCTCATGATATTAGACTAATGAAAAAAGTTCATCTGCTTCAAAAAAATCTGAAGTAC